CTGGGCCAGGCTCTGGATTGCCAAGCAGGGAGCCCTGAGGCTGTGGGGGAGCCCTTGTTTTGGGATCAACTGGCAGGTCATGCCTGTGTTGCTCTTTGCAACACGACTGTTGCAATGGTTGTAGTAACTGCCAACACCTGCCTGGAGGATGTGGTAGCACGTGCCCCTCGCTCTGGGAGAGACAACCTGGGTTGATGAACTACAGTCGGGTGAGCCAGGACTCCTGGGAGAGCTGGGGCTTGGTGGGGCTCGGCGGCTGCAGGAGGCGTAAACCCCTGGCTGAGGCATCCTCCTGGCTCAGGTACCGCTGGAGAAGCTCCTGCAAACCAGGGAGGGCTGCGGTGTTCCGGGGTGTCCCCTTCGCACTGATGCCTCCCTCCTCAAAGCAACCCGCATGGCCATGAGCCTGTGGGGCCAACCGTAACAACATCCCATTTATGCCAATACAGGAGTTTCGGCATGCCCAGCATGGCGCCATGATGGCTGCAATGGCCTGTCCCAGGCCCTGGCTCCACTGCAGGCATTTTTGGGGTTGCTCTTCCCCACCCCCCCCATGGCAAGGCCCATTGCAGCCCCATCGGTCCTGGCTACTCTGGTGGGTGGGTCCCAGCTCCACTGTCCTCACCAGGCTTTGATGGCAGTGGTGGCCCCAGGATGGCAGCGGGAGGTTGGGGGGTTCCTGGTGCCTGGCACAGCTGGCACTTGGCCACTGGCAGAGCCCTGGGTGGGCCAGGAGGTGCCGGTGGCCCCAAAAGCCTCCCCTGGGACCCACCCCCTGCTCAAGAGCCAGGACGGGGAACCCAGTCCCTGTCTGAGCTGCCATAGGACAGCCATCCCTGCCCCGTCCCTACTTCTGCCCCGCCCAGTTCCTGTCCCTGTCCCTGCCCTTGCCCTTGACACTGTCCCTGCCCTTGCCCTTGACACTGTCCCTGCCCCTGCACTTGCTTCTGCCCCATCCCTGCCTCAATATCTCTCCCTGCCCCTGCCCTTTCCATACCCCTACCCATGCCAGCACTTCTGTCCCTGTCCGTTACCCAGCCCCCTGCCTTGCCCTTGACCCTGCTCCTGCCCCACCCTTTCTGTACCCCAGCC